GTCATTAGCAATATATTTGAAGATGGACAGCAAATCTACGTGGCAGTTAAAAGTTATGTTTTGATTATTGTACCAGACTAGGTGATTCGACTGAAAAACTAAAAAACAGCCCAAAAATCGATCCGGTTAAAAATTGGTTGCCTATTCAACCTTGAACTGGTTGATCGGTGATTGGATTTTTTAAAATGGAAAATTGATAAAAAAAAAAAATAATAATAAATAAATTAAATAATTGAAAAAAAAAAAGAAGTTTTTTCAAGGCCTAAAAGCAAAAGCAATAGAAGCCCAAGTTTTGGCCCACCTATTTTATAGGCTGCTGATTCCTTTCCTTCTGGTGTTTTAGATATGTCCAGCTGTTTGCAGCTTGTTTAACCGAAGTAAAAAAATTGTCTTTAGTTATGATTGATAGATCGTGGATTATATAAATTAATTGTCTAAACTAATTATTGATATAAGCTGGTAAAATTATCAAAAGGAAAAATTAACTCAAAAACTTCTTTCAGACTTTATATAAATCAAGTGTTAAGAATTTGTTTTCAAAAATCAAGTTTATTCATAACCTTACATATCCATGCCACCATCATTCCCACTTAACACCAAAAGGCGAATTTCTTTCAACCAATTTTCCACTCATTCCACTTTCCTGTCTTCACTTTTTCTTCCGAAAATCATCCTTCTCCAACCTCTTCCCGCGCATTCACCCACCTGCCCAAGAAGCCTATATTTTTTTAATCAATTTTTCCCTTCATTCGCTTTCTCTTTTCAGGTTTTCTCTAAAAATTATCCCATCCCATCGCTAGTAGCATAGATAGGTCACCTCCATCACCGCGGAAGGTTGAAGTTTTGGTGTGCAGTGGTGCAAAGGATGGCTCTTATGTTAAGGTTTTGAAGGGAATATATGAGGTAGCTTCAAAATTATGTGGGTGTTTGTTGGTCATGGATCTAGATCCTTATTCTGAATGGTACTAAAAAGGGGATTACACCAAGCTTTTGTTGTTGCTGCTGCATTGTGTGTTTAGAAAGAGCTAAACATATGGGCCCTTACAGCAGACGTATGTAATCAATGTTGTTGGTGAAGATTCCCCGATGAATGGAATAAGGGCCTTTTGCTGGTCATTCTAGAAGCAATTTTGAAGACTAAAGATTGCATAAATGTTGGAACAAATTAGGGTATTGCACATGCCTTTAAATTAAACACAATCCTCAAGCTCGTTTATGTCAAAGGGGTCGATGAAAAAACTAAATTTTTGTATTTTGTTGTTTAGGAAATATTAAAAAGTGAGGGTGCTTGTTTTTCTAGTGGGAACAACAATGACAAGTCATATGTAAATGGTGATGCCTACTGCAGGAACCTGGACCTTCAAATTGTGTTAGGTCTCAACTCAGGGTTATCGAATGTGAAGACAGTTGATGCAATGGATGCTAAAGTGCTTGATAGTGATATGTCTAAGCTTTCAAAATGAACTGATAGTGGATTATGGTGCTGGTCTGCGATGTATGCATATTTGTTTGTGGTGACCATATTTGGTCAAGTATATTTTATTGTGACCGGTTGTGACCAATTTGTTGTTAATTGTGATTGATTGTGATTTGATCACATACCATCATACTTAAGATTGATATAGTCACAAATAGTCGCATTGAAAACAAATCTGATCACAGTTTATCACAAATAACAATGTTAGTGACTTGGTTATGTACAACAACAAATTATACTGGCTTGGCGACAAGCGGTCACAATGAAGATAAATTTGATCATAATTAGTCACAAATAACACAAGTAAGGTCATAAATAGTAAATTTGGTCACAAATAACACAATTAATCACAAATTTGATCACCTACAATGCAACACGATTACAACCACATAGTACCTAAAAACATTGCTATCACCACACCACTACCAAACAAATCAGATCCAATGTACTTTCATCACCTACAATGCATCATCACCATCACCATGTAGATCTATTTTCTAAACATAGTGCCATCTCATCATCATCAGCAACACTTGCAAAGTTATTTGTGCCTATAAATGTGTATGTATTTGTAGAGAGACAGAGAGAGAGAGAGCTTTTGTAGAGAAAAGAAACGTTTTTATTTTTTGGAGTTTCTACAGCAATGTAGGAGTGTGGGAGTAGAGAGATTTCTACAGTGGGTGGGTGCGATGATGAGGTTACATAGAGTGGAGTGGGGTGAATGGGGTACGTGGGGTGAGGATATAATATCTGTATGTCAATTGATACAGAAAGAAAATTAGTGTTTATTATATTATAATTATATATTTAATAATTTGATTTACTACCTGATTTATGAAATTTTTTAAAGAGTTCGTTAATCATAAAATGTGATTTTTGTAGTGTAGCAATTATATATTGTTCCCTTATCAAAATAAGAAAAACATCTAAAGCCCATTATAAATTTTTTATTTCTTGAATATGATTTTTTTAATCCACTATACTCTATTTTCTCATTTATTTTATCACTAAAATATGATAAAAGTATTTAAGCAATCATCTATTGAAATTTTTGTTTACATTTGTTGTCTCACTTTTTTATCAATATTGGAAATTGATGTAAATAAAAATTAGATGCAATAAGTTTAATGAGTACTTTTGTCAGCGTATATAGTTAATTTGAGAAATTAACAAGTTTTGTCTAAATCTTGTGGTATATTTATTCATTCTTTAGTTTTACCTCGATTCGACCTTTTAACGTGGACCATGGATCTAATCTGGATTGATGACTAAGTCGATTATTAAAAGAGGCTTAAAAATTGTCAAGACGTGGATATAATCTTGAGTGTGTGTGTAAATATTTGTCGAACTACTAACGATTGATCGAGTTTCGACCATCCCAATATTGAGGATTGATCAAGGCGGTCGAACACGGTCATCGATTAGTACTTGATCAGTCCCCTTGAGTGGTCGTCGAGGTTGACCAAGCTACGATCAAGTTTGGTTGAGCCTTGTGCACTCGTTCAAGATTACTCAACTACTTGGTTCTGAGACTGCTCAATCTTGATTGGCTTTCATGATCTATGAGGACATCAAAAGCTTTTTAATCCCTCACCATATTATTTTGAGTTAAGCCACTTCTACATTGATTTTGTACTTTTTATTTGACTTTCTACGATGCATAAAAAATTTAGTTGTTGATTTGAATAAGTATTATTCAAATTAATAGCCAAATTGCATATCACATCATGAGATGTCAACCAAGGTGTCAAACTAGATGTATAATAGCATAATTTTATTATTTTTAAGTTGGTTTTAAGATTTTACTTTGAAACTATTTGTTCTGAAACGATTGATATAATTTATAGATTAATTAAAAAAAATACTTAAAGCATATTTAAGAGGCTCTCTAATTTTAAAGAGCATGTTCTACAATTTAGAGAATACCTATAAATTTAGAAAGTAAAAATTTTTAAGTACTCAGACGAGTTTTTTTACATTTAACATGTAATTTTACTACTCTAAATATTTATTATTTTTTCTATCTTTTATTTTCGTTAACGTCCCATGAAATTAGTATATTATTTTCTTCATTTGAAAATTGAAATACCTTAAGTGCATTTAATTATAATTAATGAGTTTGACTTTCTAAATTTGGAGAGTCAAACACACTCTCTAAATTAAAATGTTACTTTTAAAAAAATATGTTGAAGCATAATTTTAAGGATTAATTCTTTAAGAGTATCTTATGTTTAAGGAGTTAATTATAGATGTTCTTATAGGCTTTATTACTAATTGGGAAGGTGTTGTGGAGGTAATCAAGACACGAGTTAATCTTACTACCAATTAAAAAGAGAAAGAAAAATGAAAAATATAAATATAAAAAAAGAAGTTGATTTCAAAACTTTGAATTGAAACTTAACGGTATGACTAATATAAGTCTTTTAATTATATGTAATGCCACTTTAATTTCTATCCATAAAGTCTATAAGTATTCGCATGCCCTTCACCCTTAAATCTATTATCTAATCCAAGGTCGGCAAACAACCCCTGACGAAACACCTCTCTTCTTCATTTTCTTTCAAATTCATCAGACGGTATTACAGAGATGAATGTGGTAAGTGGTTTTGAGACAGCAATGAATTGCCTTCAAATCCCATACCTAATTTCTCGTTTCTTTTCAATGGTTCCCCAAGCGTACAATTTCTGCAAGTGGGGTGCACTAATTCTTGCTGTTTTCCATGGCAACTTTTAGCAGTATAATCAGGAGAATCAAGATAATTTTCATTCATTTACATGTATTCAAACCTTCTCCAACACAAACTTTTGTTCAAAGCAATGACTTTGAATTTAGTGGTGATGATGATGACGATGAATGGTCTTCTGTTCTTCACAACAACAAGAAGGAAGTGTTGTTTATTTTGAACCAAAAAAAAGGTCCATGCAACCGCATGCAATATAGCCATGCGGTCGCATGGCCTAATGTTGAGACCATTTGGTCTTGGCATGGGCAAACCACGCGACCGCATGGGTTTGTACCATGCAGTCGCATGGTGCAATTATTTGGTCGTTGGAGACCGTTTTCTCCTGTTGTACATTCAAAATTGGTATTGTTTTAAAGTTTGGTACCATTTCATGAATGTGGTGTATGCCTATATATATTGGATCTATATTGAAGACAAACGCTTTACAAAAACATCAAAGTTCCATATTACTTCCAAAATCAAAGATCAAAGTCTTAAAAGCCATATTCATATTCATTCTTTGTGTTCTTCAAGTTTTTTAGGATTTGCACTTGTACTTTAATGCTTAAATCTTTACAAGACTTGTTATAATCCTACAAATCATTTGCCAACAACCTTCGAAGCATCTCAAATTCATAGGAGAAGGGGCAAATATCGTTTGAGGACAACGATATCGTGTTCAAGCCATTCATTGATACAAGTTCGAGATTATCTTGTTATTGACGTTTTCGGTTCATATTTTGTGATCTCTACCCCAATCCGGTGAATTTTCTCCAACAATCTTAAACGATATTTCTGCAATGGAAAGCGAGACAATGTTGACAACAATCAAACTCCTGAATCAAGACTTGATGCGGTTAGATCAGTTCGATAGAACGAACTACACTCGATGGAAAGACAAATTGAAGTTTCTTCTCACTGCACTAAAAATCTTCTACATCCTAGATCCAGAATTGGCGCCACTACTAGAACCAACAAATGGAGAAACTGAAGCGGTAAGGAATGAAAGACAAAAGTGCCAAAAAGATGAGTTAATATGCTGCGGTCACATTCTCAACGCATTATCAGATCGTTTGTATGACTTGTATACAAACACAACTTTAGTAAAGGAAATTTGGGATGCGCTCGAAAATAAGTACAAAGCGGAAGAAGAATGTACAAAGAAATTTTTTAATTTCTAAGCACTTTAATTTTAAATTTTTAGAGAATGTTTCCCTTCTTCCCCAAATACATGAAATGCAAGTAATTGTCAAAAAGTTGAAGACGGTAAAAATTGAAATACCAGAGACCTTTCAAGTGGAGACTATAATTGTCAAACTTCTCAAAACTTGGAAAGGATACTGGAAGAAGATAATGCATAGTTTCAAAAATTATTCTTTGAAACAACTGTAAAAAATCTTCGAATTGAGGAAAAGTTGAGATTACGTGATAAAAGTGATTTTCATGAGAGCACTTCCAAAGTAAATGCTATAGAAAATTTTGAATTGCCAACAAAATCTAACAAAAAGAAGACTTCAAGGAAAGAAGAAGACCAAATGAGGATGCTTTGTCTGTAAAAAATCTGGATACTACGTAAAAGATTGTAGAGACCGAAAATACAACAACTCCGAGGGTAAAGTAAATTCCATCCAACAAGACAAGATTGTAGCCACCATGAGCAAAATAAATGCAATTAAGGAAAAAGTTTCCGGCTGGTGGTACGATACTTGTGCCACGATACATGTATCATATGACAAATATTTGTTCAAAACATACAATGAAGTGGATGGAGACCAAGAGATCCAAATGGGTAATGAGGTGCGGTCCAAAGTAATTGAAAAATGAAGTGTAGAAATTATCTTCACTTCTAGGAAAAATATTACTCTCACAAATGTACTACATGTTCCGAATATGAATAGGAACTTAGTGAGTGGAAATCTTTTGGAAAAATCGGGCATTAAAATTGTCTTTGAGTCCGGTAAATTTGTATTATCACTTAACAGAAAGTTTGTTGGAAAATGCTATTCATGTGAAGGAATGGTCAAACTTTGTACTATTGACAATGAAATAAATAAAGTTGATTTTGGTTACATGATTGATTTATTTTCTTTATGGCATGCTAGATTAGGTCACATAGGTAAAAGTACCATGAAACGCATGAGAAATTGTGACTTATTTTTCATATGATGAAAATGATGCCATTAAATGCAAAATATGTGTAGAAGGAAAAATGGTTGAAAAGCCTTATCAAAGCGTTAAGAGGACTTCTAACATATTAAAATTAATTCATTCCGATATATGTGAATTGAATGGCATGCTAAGAAGAGGTGGAAATAGATATTTCATAACATTTATTGATGATTGCTCAAGATATACCTATGTTCATTTGATGAAACATAAATACGAGGCATTTGATTTATTTAAGACTTATAAAAATGAAGTTGAAAATCACTTAAATAAGAAAATAAAGACCTTAAAGAAGTGATAGATGTGGTGAATAATTCTCTAGTGAATTTAATTTATATTGTGAACAATATGGCATAATTCACCAATGTTCTGCACTTAGGATACCCGAACAAAACGATTTGGCTGAAAAGAAGAATAGAACCTTAGTAAAAATGATTAATGACATGCTTATATATGCTAAGTTCCCATTTAATTTATGGGGTGAAGTTTTATTAAGTGCATGTAGGATACTTAATTGGATTCCTTCTAAACATACAAAAGTTTCTCCTTATGAATTGTGGAAAGGAAGAAAACCGAACATTGGATACTTCAAAGTGTGACGGTGTCTTGCTTATTGCAAGAACGAAAATCCTAATAGGAACAAATTAGGTCCAACAAGCATTAAATATACTTTTGTTGGATATGCTAATAATATCAAATCTTATAGATTGTTAAACTTGGAGATCAATGTGATTATCGAATCAAGTGATGTAGAGTTCTGTGAAGATCTGTTATCATCGGAGAATGAATTAAAAGAAAATATTGAAAACATCCCTAGCTCAAGTGGAATACGTGATGAAATGTCTTCTAATGATGTTGATAAGTCTAATGAACCACGAAGAAGTAAGAGAACTCGAGTTGAGAAGTCTTTGGGACCGGATGAAATTGATTCTTAACTTATCTCCTTGTACTTAGAGAAGGAAATGAGTTGAACGTTGTATGAACAATTCCTTTTGTTCTACAAGTGGAAACTGATCCTAAAAATTATAAAGAAGCTATGGCTTTTCATGATAGCATTTTTTGGAAAGATGCAATTAAAAATGAAATGGATTCGATAATGTCTAATAAAACTTGGGAACTTGTCGATCTACCACCAGGATCCAAACCTATTAGATTTAAATGGGTATTTATGAGGAAATATAATGTTAATGGCTCTCTAAATACTTTCAAAGCTAGATTAGTAGCTAAATGATATCGACAAAAGGAAGGAATTGACTATTTTGACACTTATGCACTGGTAGCCAGAATAACATCGATTAGGATATTATTCACATTGACTTCAATATATGACTTGTATGTTCATCAAATTGATGTCAAGACGGCATTCTTAAACGGGGATCTCAATGAGGAGGTCTATATGGAGCAACCCGAAGGGTTCGTTCTACCAGAAAATGATCATAAGGTATGCAAGTTAGTAAAATCTTTATATGATTTAAAATAGGCACCTAAGAAACGGCATGAGAAGTTTGACTTAGCTATAACATCATTCGGATTTAAACATAATAGCATAGATAGATGTTTATATTCTAAAGTGTACCATGATTATGTGACATTTATATGTTTATATGTTGACGACATGTTGATTATGAGTAATCACATGGACGGTATAGAAGAAACAAAGAGATTTCTATCTTCCACATTCAAAATGAAGGATCTTGGTCAAGTGGATACCATTTTAGGTATCAAAGTCATAAAGACTAGTGGGGGTTATCACCTAAGTCAATTACATTATATTGAGAATGTGATAAACAAGTTCAAACACTTGAACATAAAAGAATATAGTACCCCGGTTGATCCAAGTTCAAAACTTGTAAAGAATGATAAAATGGCGATTGCTCAATTGGAATATACTAGTGCTATTGGAAGTCTTATGTAGGCAGTTCAGTACACAAGACCGGATATAGCATATGCTATTAGTAAACTTAGTAAATTTACTAGCAATCCAAGCAAAAATCATTGGAGGGGCATTGGGAGAATTATTGGATACTTAAAAGAAAACCAAGAACTTAGGCCTGCAATATACTAAATTCCGACAATATTGGAAGAATTTACCGATACTAGTTGGATATCTAGCAAGGGTGAAAGTAAATCCACCTCAGATTGGGTGTTCACTCTAGGAGGAGATCCTGTTTATTGGAAATTAAAGAAACAAACATGCATAACACACTCGACCATAGAATTTGAATTTGTAGTCCTATCGGATACCGGGAAAGAGGTTTAGTGGCTTAAGGATCTCTTTTATGAGATACCTTTGAGATCAAAGAATATTTCTTCAATACCTATCATGTGTAATAATCAAGCCACATTACCAAAAGCATACAACAAGTTATACAACAGAAAGTCTAGACACATGATTCTTAGACATGAGTATATAAGGAAGTTAATCAAGGATGAAATAATTTCCCTAAATTATGTGAGGTCAATTGAGAATTTGGTGGATCTTTTGACTAAATTTCTAAATAGAGATTTAGTAGCATCTACTTCTAGTAGGATGGGGTTGAAACTCCTTAACTAAAAAGATTCACCAATGACAGCAATTCTACTTGTCATTATTCAAAAGGTAATTTACGGTTTCAAAGGGTAACAACAAATCATTTGATACGTGAATAATTACAGCATTATTAAATCCGCAATAATCCTATCTTAATTAAATTAATGCTAGTTGTTACTGAAATGAGGGATGAGCTTTAAGTTCTTAATGAAATTCAGTGCTAAAACACAAGTACCTCTAAAGGTAACAAAGGTACTGGAAGAACTTCACCTAAACAATCTTCAAAGTGGTGCAGCCTTAATAGAGAGTTGGAGTTTCTCTCTTAAAAGATTGTTGAAAGAATAAACGCAAGGTCATAAAAGCGCTAAGCGAGTTATGAGGAACTTGAGAACATGTGGTACTCATGTGTGTATTCTTACCAGTATTGTCATATGGAATAACTGGTTTAAAACTACACGCTACCTTTGATTCCAACTATACTTTGTTTGAATTACACTATGGTTAGATTCAAATCGAAAGATATCTAATCCTTCTGCATGAGTATCGTATATTATGAATATGAGACTTGTTAATTTTGAACAAGTGGAGGATTGCTGTGATAATGTTGTTTAAAATAAATAACAATAAAAAAATGGTCCATACGATCGCATGAAATATAGCCATGCAGTCGCATGGCCTAATGTCGAGACCAAATGGTCTCGGCATGGGCAAACCATGCAATCGCATGGGTTTGTACCATGTGGTCGCATGGTGTAATTGCTTGACCGTTGGAGGCTGTTTCTCCCATTGTACATTTAAAATTTGTGACTTTTGGCTTCAAGCTTGGTAGCATTTCGTGAATGCGGTGTGTGCCTATATATATTGGATCCATGTTGAAGTCAAACACATTACAAAAACATCAAAGTTCCATATTACTTTCAAAATTAAATATCAAAGTCTTAAAAGACATATTCATGTTCATTCTTTGTGTTTTTCAAGTTTTCTAGGATTTGCTCTTGTGTTTTGGTACTTAAGTCTTTGCAAGGCTTGTTATAATTCTACAAACCATTTGCCAACAATATTCAAAGCATCTCAAATTCATAGGAGAATGGGTAAATATCCTTTGAGGACAACGATATTGTGTTCAAGCCATTCATTGATACAAGTTCGTGATTATCTTGTTATTGACGTTTTCAGTTCATATTTTGTAATCTCTACTCCTATCCGGTGAATTTTTTTCAACAAGAAGCTATTATACATATTTCATATTGGGCCTCATTGGACTCGACCCATTTCTTTAACCCATTTGGCCTACCTCCATTTCTATATATATATGAGTTTACTTCACACAACATAAGGTACATTCTAAAAAACCTAAGCCAAACCCTCTCTCCAGTATCGACACTCTTTATTTTCTTTTCGTTCGGCTGTTGACTTGACCGTCAGAGTGCAAACGGTCGCTGGACATTTTTCTCGACCGATGGCCTCTTTGCATCCCATCGAGTGTTCCGTGCACAAGTTTGGAGGGAACAAGGTCGAGATTTTGTTGGTGCATTTTTTAAGGTCAACAGATTGGCGCCATCCGTAGCAAATGGTACTGACCATGTTATACTATATTACTACATAAAAAATGGCCTCTGGAAAATTCCATTTTTCCGGTCAGCTTCTCTACAAAAATAGTAGAGACATCAACCAAAAAATTTAAGGGAAAAAGGGCTACTAGAGTTGGAGTTCAAAACTAAGTAATTTTTGAGGATTTTGTTGGACATTCATATCGAAGAATCAGCCATTCGAAGGATGAACAATAGATTATCAGCAAGCTAAACCTAGCAATTCTACCATCTTCTTCTAAAATGGCGGCTATTGTTGGGAATCTACTTAACATGCACAGCGAAAAATTAAAATATATTTCGATTCCCACCAAGAATTGTCTTTGTATTTAGATAGAAATTGTGATAAGATTGTATCTTTTCCAAATTTGCAAACTTCTTTGCTATTCTTTTCATTCCAACAATCTTGATTCGCTACCCACAGCTGTCCAATTGTCCAGCCTCCAATGGTGATCCATACAGAGAACAAGATTACAGCTACCAGAGTTTTCTTCTCTTGTGCTAGAAAGAATAATTATGAAAAAAAACCATGTGGATTGAAAACCCTAGCCATGTATTTATATATGCCCAAACGGGCCTGGTCCAGTCCGACCAAATATTTAATTAATCCATTTAATTAAATCCGGTCCATGAATTAATGAATTAATTAGGGCCTATAAATAACTAACACAATTAATTAATTTATCTAATGATTGTCAAATTAATTAATTGACAAATTGAAATTTTCCAATTCTCTTTTGTGTGTGACCCATTAAATTCCCGATCACAATATCTAACGACGTGAAGTATTATTTTGATCTAATCAAAACTGATAAATTTAAATACCCTTTTAATTTATCATCAATTCACACTCGCCGTCCCAGATTGACATCTAGTAATGTGTCAGGGCAGTACATGTGACGGGAAATGTCACGTGGTATGACAAAACCAAACTCGTTCGTTTATCGTGAAACTATAATTCCTTCATCAATATGATCCGATCAATTACGAGATATGAAAGTGTGTCAATCTTGATTAACGATCATATCTTTCACTCCACTATTAAGTCAATATAAGTCGAAAACTCTTTTTCGACTTATGAGTATACATTGGCCAAGGATTTCATCATCGATTTAATTGAATGAAACGCAGATCATAATCTCTTACTATCTAAGAGTGACGAATCCTTTTATTGGACAATCACAACCTTTATACGATTCTTGACGTACCCGAACGATGTCGTATTAGTGGCCCTTTGCAGAGCAACATCCAACACCGCTAAAGTATGACTGTCCTCATATAAGGTACCATGACGATCTCAAGTCAAAGGACCAATTCCACTACCGAACATTAGAGATTAACCACTAACACTCAGATAGTTATCCATATGGAATCTCTCGGCGGGTCTCCAATATTTTGTTCTATAACAAAAATATTCACGTGTTCATTTAAGTGTTACCGCACTTTAACTTGTAAGATCAGCTACTTACTTCATAAGTAAGAAATGTCACACGTGATGGTCTATCCGTAATAACGATATCCGTATCTTGTTATTACTTACGACCACGGATGATTTAAGATTCAATCAGATATAATTTATATCTCATAATCACAACTCCTTGTGATTAACAAACTACGAAGATTTGAATCTATGGACTTTATTATTTATTTAGTTGTCTATTAATTAAATAATAAATCTGCCATTAAAATGCATTAATTATATATCAGAAGCATTTATGTCCAAAATTGTTTGGACTTAGGGCATAGTACTTACAAACTCCCACTTGCACTAGATTCAATCACTTATGTAACCAATATCATAAGAGTCTACATGACG